AAGGTCTACGAACGTCAGGTGGACTTCTTGGCCACGAGCAATTTTCTTTGGCTTCCATATCTTGTTATTCTTCTTCTATTCGATTTTTTATTATTTTCTCATATATTCTGCTAATACTACTAGTAACTACAATTCCTCTATAGTTTTCAGGTTTCGATTTATCTCCCTTTTTATGGATGGTGCTCATATGCGATTCTTTTCATTCCTCAGGTATTTCATGTTTATTTATGCATTCCTGGAAAAGTTGTAGCCGTTGATTAATATTTTGAGTCCATGTTTGATGAGTTCCGGAGCTACATTTCCTGGGCTGGATGATTTGTCATTCTTTAGATGTCTGTATACGGTTTCGACTTCTCTCTCATTCATTCTGATTGGTGATCCTATCACCCTGACGCCTTGTAGACCATAGTTCTCTAGCTGTTTGAAGGGCTCTCTTGACTGTGTTAGTAAATCTATAAAGTATTCTTCCCAAGTTTGCGGTGATATGGACTGGATAATATCTCTTTTTCTGTTGTTTCTTAAATTTTTTAAGTTTCTTTTGTATATTTTTTTTTCCAGGATTCATTATTATTTTGGCATATTTTTCTTCTGACCATCGCTTGCATTATTTTGTATTCGATTCTGTCTTCCACATTTCTTGTGTTCAGATATTTTTGATACAATTTTATTTTCTCTGTTATTTCCTGCGAAATATCTCTTGATCCCACCAATATGGTTTTTGTTGTCCCATTTTTCATACTGCCCTAGTGCTTCTTGTTATATATATATATATATATATATATATATATATATATATTATATATATATATATATATATATATATATATATATATATATATATATATACTTTATCCACTAATGTGATTTCTCAAAAATTCTGTCAGCGACATTATCTATGGTTTTACATGCCGTCGTATGTAAAATCACCGAAATCTTCAGCAATACTTGGTTGAAATCCAGTGTCACTCGTATCACAGAACGCAGCACTGCGTACAACATATCGTAGAAAAATCTCCATCCTTTGTGGAATGCAAAGTGCACCTCCTCTGGTTTCATCTAGGTGTGGTAAAAAATAATCTGAGAAATAGAACGTCTATAGTTTCGATTTTAAACCGCAATAGAACCTTAAATTTACTGGGACTTAAGCTTTTTCTTTTCTTGTAGTGTTTATTTTCACGAACTTATATAAAGTCAACCATAATTATAACAAACGAAAAATATTTAGAACCGCCCCTCTACTAGTGTAAATATGCACACTCTACTGGTGTAAGTATTCATTTAAGATCCCTTAACAAATATTAAGGTATTACTTCCTAATTGTCCAATAGTCTTCTTTTTATTCAACTAAAAAGGAGTAAAAACTGGAAAAATTTATGTATAACCTTATACTTTCAGTAACTACTTGAACCAAGTAAATTCTTTTAAATAAAGTAGTTCTTCTTCTTCGCGTGCCATATCAGAATTATCCGACGTTGGCGATCACCATTGCGAAGGCTTCTCGATCTTTTACAATATGGAATAATTGTCCTGCATTTGGTATCTGAGTCCATTCACGAATGTTTTTTAACCAAGAAACTTGTTTTCTTCCTACACCTCTACGGCACTCTATTTTGCCTTTAAGGATCAGTTGTAACATTTTATATCAACTTCCCCTTACTATATGTTCCAGATAAGACATTTTTCGATGTTTAACAGTCTTGAGCAGTTCTCTATCTTTGTTGACGCTCCTTAGTACTTCTTCATTAGTTTTCCTTACTGTCCAAAGTATCTTCAGCATTCGTCTATGAACCCACATTTCCAATGCTTCAATTTTGTTCATGATCGATACTTTTAGCGTCACACTTCTGCACTATACAAAAGTACGGATCAAACATAGCACTTAACCATTCTTTGCCTTAGTTCTAAACTGAGATGGTTATTGCAAAGAAATGACTTCATTTTCATAAAAGTAGTTGCTATTATACGTTTTATTTCTATGTCTGGATCTAGTTGGTCCGTTATCACAGGTCCCAAATATGTCATTTTGTGAACTTTCTCAACTTGGACCCCGTTTAATTGAAGCTTTGCATCGGGATGTGGGTCACGGCTAAACACTAAAAATTTGGTTTTGTTTGAGTTTATTTTAATGCCCATTTCCTCTCCTACCTCGTGAATACGATCAAGCAGAATTTGAAGACCTTCAATATTATCTGATAGAATTACTCTATCCTCTGCATATCTAATCACATTAAGTAGTTTCCCGTTGATTTTTATTCCATATGGTTGTCTCTTAAGTGCCTTTTTAAATAACTGATCCGAGTAAACATTGAACAATGTTGGCGACAAAATGCAACCTTGTCTGACTCCTCGTTGTATAGAGATTTCATCGGTGTAGTTATCTCCAATTTTTACGATAGAAGTTTGATTCCAGTACCACAGCCACCTTTACTTCCAAGCCATGAAGTAAAAAAGGCAACACCGCATTCTATGACGTCGGTAGTCCGATAATCAGCTGTAAGGTCTACCAGAATATTAAACTAATTTGAATTTTAGGAAACTGATATTTTAAAAACTTCAATTCATTACAGAAATATTTTTAGGGAAATTAAATTAATAAAACCTTATATATACCTAGTAAATATATATATATATATATATATATATATATATATAAATATATATATATATATATATATATATATATATATATATATATAATATATATATATATATATATATATATATATATAAAGTTTTATTATTATTTAGGTTATATTATCAATAAAATAATCACTAGAGTAAAATTTATTGCGCTTAAAATACAGTGTCAAACAGTTAATCTTACAATCATCAAATGCAGTCAAGAATCTCTAGAAATTTTAAATATTAAGTACCTAAGCATATAAATAACACAATACATTAACAAGACATTTAAAAAGATTATTAAAAATACAAAAGATATAAAATTTGTGCTAAGTAAAAACTTAGTGTAACTATTATGATTAAAAAATTCATCCTAAGAAATCAGACACAATATAAATATGGTTCTAAATTAATCTAATTGAAAATTAAATATTTTACTATTTACTTATAACTTTTGTTGAATTTTCATACTTAGATATACAAAAGTAGCAATTTTAAATATGAATAGGTTTGTTGTCATATAGACCAAGTTAAAAGAGGTATACATGAAAAATGTGTTGAATGTAACATACCATTTATAACTTGTATATCGATTTAAAATAGCCCATATTCTCAAAAGATTTTTGAATGTAATACTCAAATTTGTTATCACTTATCTAAAAAGCAGATCTAAATGAGAAAGTAAGTTCTCGAATTGTGACCATCTTGTTAATTTACTATATTGTAAAATCCATTTCAAATCATTACCACTTAATCTATTCTTACCTACATTGACGATTACACTAAAATTACTGCTAACTATTACACTACATATTACACAAATATTATCACACTTGTGTTCCAACTGATTAATGTTTAATACATAGAAATATACACAGTCACTTGTAATTTTACTTGTCCAGTTTTTCAATGGGATATTATTGTCTAAGTCTAATTGACATAATTATGTTATCTCTTGTTCCCTCTTCTTATGCAAAAAGTTTCTTCTGTCTTCGGGATTCCTTCTTTCTTTAGTACGATGAACAGTTACATATGATGGTACTTCAGGAAATATATTACGAACTGGCTTTTTCAAATATATTATGAATTCAGCCTTTTAATTTGGGAAATATTAACTTTTCAATGTGTACATTTCTATCTTTATCTTCTCATTGTTCAGTCCGCTGAATATCATCTTCATGAAAATGTTTGGCACATACTACGGAAGATTTGGTAATTGTATAGCCTTCTCTATGAATAGAGCATAACCCAGTATACCTTCTTTGGGGATCTTTGGGAAACAAAAACATACTTTCTGCCTGTTTCGTTTTTAAAGTACTGGCATAATTGGTTTTGCAACCAGGTACACAACAATGCCAGAGCATCTGTAACAAAAAACAAAAGTATTATTATTGTTGTTTTTAGTTTACATATTTTGTAACAAGAAGCAAAAGTATTATTATTTTCAGTTTGTTTTGTATGTTATATTTATACTTGCCTTTTAAATTGTCGTTAAAAATCTTCTAAAAGTTCTAAATTTAATGAAATTTCACTTATATTAATATTTTCTAATTGATTTAAACACAATTTACAAATAAAACATTCGAATAAAGTTAAAAAAACAATAAATTCAACAAACTTTACAAGCCTTCCTATATGAAATGTTAAACCAAAACAAACCACAGTCGGACTACCACGCGTTGTTGCCAAATTTCTACTTCATGGCTTGGAAGTAAAGGTGGCTGTGCCAGTACACATTTTTAATGACACGAATATCCTTGTCATCTATTCCGATATTTTTCAGTATTTCCTTAATTTTACATGATGTACTTTATCGAATGCCTTTTCGAAGTCTACGAAACATGCAAATACAACTTTTCTTTGGTCACGGCATTTTTGTAATAGGATGTTAAGTGCAAAAAGTGCTTCCCTGGTTCCCATAGCATTTCTAAAACCAAATTGGATATCTTCAAGATCTTCGCATTTGCGTCTAATTCTGTTGTGAAGTATTTTGAGGACAATTTTAAGAGTGTTGCTCATTAGGCTAGTTAATCGATATTCTGAGCATTTTCTCGCATTGTGTTTTTTAGGTATTGCGACAAAGATGGATTTGAGTCAATCTACGGGCTATTATATTATATACTAAATAAAGTAGTTACTGTTCTTTTATTCTATTACTATTAACTAAATACTTCTTTTTATTCAATAGACCCATTCTCGTACTATTAATTAACAAATCAGAATTTTATGGGAGTATTTGATTAGGAACATTTATTTTTATTACTTAATCTAACAAAACTAGTACAAACACTTCGTAATACTATGTGATTTAGTTTTGGCGTATTTATACTGTATGTAAATTGTTTTTAAAGTCATATTTAATATTTTTAACTTTTTAGGTGAGGAAAAATCTAGATGATACTTCATTTAAGGCGTTTGTAGAAGCCATACAAAATTATAAGGCTGTGAGTGATTTAGATTCCTTAACGTCTAGTTTAGATGCTATATTTAAGACAAAGAGTCATTTAAAATATCTAATTCCCGGTTTAGAATCATATATTAAATTAGATCATAAGTCAGATTTCAGCAACTATTGTCAAAAAAATGGTTTCCTTGATATTTGAGGTCAATATTCCTTTGATTTGTATAACTTGGACCATTCAGTTAAGAACAAAACAATATTATGATCAATACCTTAAAATTTTTTTTGTTCTAAATTTAATTAACAAAAACAACTTTTTCAGGAAATTTTTTTAAAGAAATCATGAACTTTTTTTATTGTATAGATATTATCTTTTTTAGTCCTGATGAAATGAAATGACGAACTATTTATTTAATCCACTATTTGTCCAAAGCATTATGGCATCTTAATTTAATAGATTAACTAGAATATTATGTGATTCTTAGACAGGTATTAGTAATAATCAATAAGTATCCTTACCCATAATTATTTATTGTAAAATTACATAAATGTTATCCTATTAATAAAATCAGCAAGAATTTACACTGAAGAGCAAAAAGTTAAGTTCATCATATTAATACATTTATCAAAATGAACGGTAATGAATATGATCGTCATCATCAGTGGTACCACACCGCTAGTTGAGCCTCGACCTTCCTTCATCTGTTTCACGAGTCAATTTGTCACGTAAAGCCTACTCACTTTCTTATTTACTCTATCCTTCAGACTTGGCGTGTCCTTACTCCCGTTTGTCACTTATTCTTAAGATGCCTTTCTCCATTACTGGCGGTTGGCCATAATTTCCGCAAATTGCTCTGTTTTGATCTGTTCTTAGTAACGAATGGGTGACTGTTCAGTCCAGTCTCTTACATTCTTTAACCACAAGCATGTTCTTCTCCCGCGCCCCTTTTTCCTTTTAGCTTCCATTCCATTATGCTTCGCAGTTAATTGTATGTTTGTCATCTTTAAATATGTCCAAGATAACTTGTTTTTCGGTATTTTGTAATATTTAAAAGTTCTCTTTAGGTTCCATCGTTCTAAGTACTTCATTATTGGCCACGTGCTATATCCAAGACATCATCAATGTCCTAAGGAAAATACACATTCAAAGGCTTCTATCTGCCTGATACACTTAATTCCACTTTGTATAACAATACTGAATAGATGCAGGTTTTCATAAATAGCTATCGAACATCCACAGATAAGGTAAGATTTTCATTCTTGAAGAGTGAATAAGGCATATTATATACGACCTCGTGTTTTAACTTCGTGGTCAAAATCGTTTGTAATATTGTTTAAGATGTTGGAATATGTGTACAGGTTCTATCTGATTGTTGTATACACATACTTGGGTGGCGATTACTTTTATTTTGATTGTCCTTATTTTCAACCCTAAAGTATCTCCTTCAAGGGTTATGGAATTCAAAAGTCGTTAAAAACACTGTACTGTACGCAATATTGATTATGTTGCCTGTGTATCTTAATGTTATTTATACTTCATCTAATTTACTAACCGTTGCACGTCATTATCATTGACAGAGATCGAAGTTGACATAGTTGCCAAAGTATAAAAAAATCCTGAATCCATTTTAAATCGAATAGGTCACATAATTATTGCAAAAGTGGATTATATAACAAAACAAATTAATATTTAATGTAAATAAATAGAAACAATACAAGAGTTAAAAAAATCTTGTTAAAAACAATTTGAGCCGCTTGTATGCGTCGTATAAAGATGTAAAATGGAATACTTAAACAAAGACAACACTTTTTTTATTACTTATTAACTTTGAAATGTTTTGATACAACTAAATTTTCAAACGCTTTTTTTTATTTTTCTTCAGATTCATTTAAATTTCGGTTTTCTGATCGATAGTGATTATGCAACTAAGATAATATTATAATAATAATTACAACGACTATTTAAATTATTACATGACATTTTTGAAATAAAACACACTAATTTTGTTCTAAAAAGAACAAATTTTATTAAATAGTTAAAAATATAAAACAAGAGGTATTCACTTTAAAATTCAAAATAATAAAGTACAACAAGTGTCAACACTGCAACTATCAAATAAGTGTTACCAATTTATGCCCAATTATCACCTTCGTTCGATTACAGTTACAGTGTATTCCGAACAAATGTTCTTTATAAAAACACTTTATAATGCATATATACAAATTAAATGAAACATATTATTGTGTATTTCTTAAGTTAACATTAATAGAAATATTATCACCTATCGCCTAAATATTTCGTGCTGGTATCATGTGACCTCACGGGCTATATATGACGCGGACATCGAGCAAAAAGACAAAAGAGGGAATGTAAAGGTAGTGGGGGCAAACATATTGTTAGACAGGAAGTGCGATCTTTAGAGGCCACATTAAACAAGGAAAGAGAGTCTCTCTCCTTGTTTGACATCAAATTTAGTTGGATTATGTTATTGTTTGTCCCAAATGTCACATGAAATCTTATTTATATTGAAGTTTTTTAACAATTGTGTCGCATTTTAGACTCTTATCATTAATAATTAATTAAAACTTTCTCGTCTAAGACACATTCTGAAAAATATTATATAGCTACTGTTGATAAGTGTCGGAAAATTTAAATTTGGCGCATTCGCATTTCCGGATATGTCCGCCATCAGAGGCCACTTTTTTTGTCTCCTTTTCATAAGGATTAGATTCCCTCTTTTGTCTTATTGCTCGATGGACGCGGATGACGTGCAACGTAAATAAATTAGATGAAGTATACTTATTCTCCGTTGACTTGGAGTGACAAATCATCTTTTCTTTTGATTGATCCCATTTTTGTGCTCAATACAGGCTCTTAATATAATAAGATTATTAAAATCTGTATCATGTGTTAGTTTTAAATAAGTTCTGTATGTTTGACTCGATTAAAATCCTTTTCGTAGTTGATAAAGCATAGAAAAATGTCTTTGCATTGATTGTAGGAGTAATTGAAAGCCAAACAGTGATTTCTTCCTACTACAGTGAAACTTCCTATTTCAATATTTGTAATTTTTATTTATAATGAATTTTGGATATGGATCTAACTCCAAACGATTTTTAAAATAATCGTTTTGAGCTAGATCTCCCGATCTCGGAGGCACTTAATGTTACAGTTAGGCCCAATCAAACAATTACTAAAACTGTTTTTAAGGTTCCTTAACCTCCCGGCTATTGTGCGCAGGACACCCATCCATTTGAAACCAAATTTTTTCTTCAGCTAAAGTTACTTCTGCAAGTATCAGCAAAAATCTTTTCTTGTAGGAAGTCCAAAAACTTTTCTGAATTTAAAATTTTGTCCTATATATAAAGGCGCAGGGCATTCAATTTAAATTTCTCTCATTGAAAAATGGTTTAATAATATTATGTCTAAATATTCAAAAAATGTTAATTAATTTTTTTAGTCATTTGTTTACCAATCAAATTTTATTGAAACTAAAAGTTTAAAACATAAAAAAGCAGGTGTAAACAGGTAAACATATATAGGTGACTGCACCGATCTACTTACCAATCAAAATTAAGATTATTTAATAACAAACGCGATGAAATAATATTGCCTGCAAACAATAAATGAAATACTATAGCAAAGCTTTTAAGTTTAAAAATCGGAGCAAGTAAAGTTGCGCGAGCGATAAATCCGAGCGTCTTATTTATAAACAACTAGTACTACTTTATATATGCAAAATTATCGATTCTAAAACCTTTACTAACTTCTGCAACAACTTTTTTGTTCTTCACTGTATAAATATTAACTATTGATACGAATATGTCTTAAATAAAATTGAATGCTCAAATATCAACGTTATTTAACTCTTAATAATACTTTATTCCGTTAATATTATTAGTAAAATATGGGATCTTTGATTGAAATTTGGCACTTTATTGTATAGCTATTTTTAATTATTATTGTAAATTATTTTTTTATAAATCTTTTTTTTTCTTTAACTGGATTAAATTTTTTATTCTATTAAGCGTTTCTTGTTTTTTTTTCATTTCTTCTACAGAATGTTCCCACACCTATACCCAAAAGCCTATTGAAATTGATGAATTTGTCAAAAAATGGTATTCGAAGGAAAATTCATGTATTTTTTTTTCAAAAAAGAAATACCAAACCTAAACAAAATTTTATAAGAAGTTAGAGACGATCCGGATTTGCATCATATCGGACGAACTAAATTGTGGCAAGTTTTAAAAGAATTAAATTTCCGGTGGGTGAAATCAGACCTGAAATCACTTTTGATTGACCGGGAGGAGATAATATGTTGGAGAAGAAATTATCTAAGATCCAATTAAATAAATCAAATTGAACTCATTTGGGCACCAATGAAAAGTTATGTGGCTAGAAAAAATACGTCATATAAAATACAAGCTGTACGTGACTTGTTATACGAGTCTTTTCAACATATTACAGAACAAAACTGGAAAGATGCAGTAAGACATGTAATAGAAGAACAAAAAATGTGGGATCTTGATAACATAAACATCGGATTCCGAAGTTGATCCTATTATTTTGAATTTGAATGGTTTTCTAATCGTAATTATATAAGGTAAGTAATAGTAGTTGTAATCGTGAGGTATTAAATGGGAAAAGCGCAAAATGTCGCCTGTCAAAATGTTCAATTAATTAATTATTTTAAATGTATCCATTTTTTTTCAAATTCTGAGAAAACTAAAAAGCATATTAAAATAAACATTGTAGAAGTTTTCAGGGACTTTCTGCCCTCAATAATAATGTAATCTTTCATCCTGCGTTTAAATTTTTCAAAAATATTTATTAGTTTTCTCCGGATTCGAAAATAATGGATACATTTAAAACACATTGAAATTTTTTTACAAATGGCAAGAAACTTTTTATTTTTGAATAAAATAAAGAAATTTTATTAAAACAAAAATACAATTTAAAAAATATATTTATTTAGTTCAAATAAATGTTTCAATCATATACTCTACGACACTGGTCGGTCATCTGTAACCAAAATACCTTCGTAATCAGATTATAAGGTTGATTGCTGTATTGTATTCCTTCAGATACAAGGTGGGTTAGTCGAAAACATCTTAAACCGTCAGTTTCAGGTTGTTTTTTACTATTATATCGTCTTACATATCCTCTCTGTATTTCAGTTCTCTAATCAGGGTTAAACTTGTAGTGAGCTATTGACAAAATTGTGAACCTACTATATATTCTATGACATTTTCAGATCGATAAAAATGAGCTGATTTCGAAAAAGTATAATACTAGGGATCCAATGGACATAATTTGAAAGATATGCGCTTAGAAAATTAATTTTTATTAATTTCTAATATTAATAAATTATAATAAATAACTTGAAATTAATCCAGTAATTAATACCTGACTTTATCTTAAATGTTTGAATTGTAGCGATTGTTGCATTTGGCAGTAACCCACTCGTTGTACAAATTCTTGTAGAACCTTATTTATGGTTTTTTGAAAAATGTTGTTTATTTCTTTACGAATTCTTGTCTTCAATATTTGCAGGTTTCGTTTTATAAATAAACAACATTCTTCAAATGACCCCACATAAAATTATCCAAAGGATTGAGGTCTGGTGACCTCACTAGCTATTCGATATGTCCACGTCTTCCAATCCACCTGTTCGGAAAAAATTTGTTCAGGTACCTTCGAACATCTACAGCATAATGCGGAGGCGCACCATCCTGTTGAAACTATAAACTTTCATCAAATCCTGCAGGATTAATTCTACTGGGGAATAAATTAACTAAAGTAGGTACGAGATACCCCCTAAAAACTGAAGGTATGCTGGCCAGTTTAAAAATGTACCATTACCTTCGAAAAATGAGGGTCCGATGATTTTATTTTTTACCTCTGGTAAACATCCTCGTTTAATTCGTGTACAATCCTGTGCATCTAAAGGGGTGCCATTTGTCAAGTTTTATTACTTTGTGTACCGTTGTTTGTTAAACATCGAGATCACGACTAACCTTACGAACAGAAGTATGCGCATCTTCTTCAAAAGCCAGTAGAACATCTAATGCTGTATCATAATTTATAGAGGGACGACTGATTTGGTTTTTCTGGTTATTTATCATTAAATAAATTACACACTTCCAACTGAGTTCGCGATTTGTCTCCCTACCCAATCATCATGAGTATTTCAATTCTTTGCTTTATACTCATATTCATTTTTACTTCAAACTAATTCTAAGCAATAATACAGAACATTCACGAATTAATACAATTATTGTACTGCTTAATTGTTATTGAACGTTACTAAAAACACTGAACACTAGTAGTAGGCTACTTTTTTGCAATTGATAATAAATTATTTATTTTCTAAGCGCATATCTTTTAAATTATATCCATTAGACCCCGAGTATTATACTTTTTTGGAAGCAGCTCATTTTTATCGATCTAAAAATGTCATAAAATATAGGGTGTTATATTTAAAAAAGAGCCGATGAAGTCATCACCTTAATGTGTATCACCTTTTATAATTAAATTTTGTTGTAAAATGTAGAACATTAAACTTAAAAATCGACGTGTTTTATATTTTTTTAAAATTGCTTTTCATTTATGAAATATCAAATTTATTCCATACTTTACGGACACACTGTATATTATTTTTAACAAGTTTCTATCTAATAAGTGCTAAATATAGATAAAATTGCAACTGACATTAATTGGTTTTAAAATTCAAATTTATTATGGGCATTAAGTTTATTTATTTTCAAAATCCACTTTGTATTTTATTCATCATTCCAACAACAAATTTCCCGTAAAAAAGTCACCATGCTAGGAGACCCATTGGACGTTGGCTTCTTATTACTATTTTTGCTTTAATTTTAATGGAGATTATTTTGGTTCTACTAAATTTGAATTTGTTGAGAAATAATTCAATAAAAAATATAATGGGGAGATCTCATTCTTCTCCACGAATCAGCCGTTCAATTATGTAAGCACTTGTACACACAGGCATTGCATAAAGTTTGTATTTTTGTTTTACTCGTAATTTCCCAGAAATTTGGAGTTTATCAAGAAGCCGAATTTAATAAACTTCACTCTTTGCTTACTAGGAACTGATATTTTTAGGGAAGTATTAATATTTTCCTTTTTCTCAATTATTAATAAATAAACATGTTAATGGAACATAATATATTAATTTTTTATTAAAATAATATAATATCATTTATTTGTATTTTTTAAACAAGTAAACAATTTTGTACATCTCAGGTTCTGACATAAATCTAAAACAAAATTTGATATAAATGTATCTTTTTCAGACTTCTTGCTCTCGAATAAGATAATGAGGTATATTGTAGGCTCTACTATAGTAAGAATGTATGTATTTTGCTCCTAAAAATAAAAACAATTATTGTTAATATTAACTGTTCTGTCAGACAAAAAAAAATGGGAAACATATGGGATCAAAATATTCACTTCGCTATAAAATTATATCAATGGTCAATTTATGGAACAAGAAACAATGAGCATAGCAGAAAGTCTCAACGATCGAACCTGAAAGAATAAGGAGTAAGCCAATTCAAAAAGGCAAAGATAGTAGAGGAGAAAAAGTTTTGTACACCAAACGGCACAGAAATATAAGAAGACATTATAAATGTTATGTACTAGATACCAATCTGAGTGTTATGATACCTCATTGGAGTCTATTAATATTAACGAAACAGAAAATGGTATAGCATCTTTTATCTCCAAATTAATTCAATCCCTGCTGTATACCGGGTAAAATGAGACAGTGAAGTATAACATATAGCCTCTCCTATTCAAATGTCAACTTCACCTGTTCGTATCATGATCTAGATCATGGTCATCTGGTGCATTCTGCTAAATAACCAATGAGGCTCTGGCGTCCGAGTATTTGCCGGGATACGCAATCCACCATTTACTGGACAACGGCTTCGGGCGGATGAGCTGGTAAGTGGATGGACACTCTGTTGTCCTAAGATTGAGAAATTGGTCTCGAAGGCGGAAGAACCAAGAAAGTGGTCAACGGCATTAGAATACAGAAGGCAACGAGAAACCACTGCATTAAAGGTCCCTGGTGACATCTCTAGTAAAGCTATCATGGCAAATACAACTAAAGTGGAAACAGTTAATAATCATGGAATACAGAAGCCAAGATTCGGCAGGGAAGGTGATCCACCTCTAGGTCACAGGGCTTCCCAGGTCGTAAACCAGAGAAACCCCTATGACAGAATTGGAAAAGTATCTCTAAAAACGTCAGAGTTAATTATTAAAATATATACCTGGAATGTGAGAACAATAATGTCAGGCTGGAAAACTTCAGAATACCATTCAATCAATGACAGACTTAGAGTAGGTATAATGGCATAAGAGAAATGAGGTGGCCAAATAGTGGTGCTTGTATTGTTGACAACCATATGGACTCATATATCATGAGGACTCAGGAAATAATGACGGTCAACATATGTATGGGGTTAAAGCTCTTCAATTGCGTCAATAAGTTACAAATGTTATGCCTGTTTCTGAAAGATTAATAATAATCCAAGTGAATACTACTCCGGTCAAATTAAATGTTTACAGGTGTATGTCCCAAACAGCGATAAACCAGAAGGAAAGGTAGAATAATTCTATGAGTTGTTGATAAATTCACTTAAACAACTTAAAAAAGAACATGCAAGCAGTGAATTCATTGGTGATTTTGGTCTAGGGAAGAGAAATGAAAGGAGAGAAAGATTAAAACTATTGGTAGAGGAAGAAGAATTTGCAATACTAAATACGTTCTTCAAACTACCACCAAGACGTTTGTCTTGACGAGCAAATTCAATACAATAAATGTACATACCTGTGTAATAAACTTATAAATGATTTTATCTATTATTTACATACATATCTGTGCATATTAGTACATACCTGTGTAATAAACTTATAAATAATTTTATCTATTATTTGAAGATCGTTAGCAGTTTCCATGATCATCTTAAGTATAAGATCTGTTTGAGGGGACACA